ATATATATATATATATATATATATATATATATATATATATATATAATGTATCCGGGGAGAATAAAATTGACCGAGGAAAACTTCTGTTGGTTCAGTAAGGGATGCTTGTTGACAATTAGGAATATTAGATATATCCTATTGGCTAATATAATCAAGAATTTATTTGTAAAGACCCAAATTTTACCTACAGAAAATATGGCAAATAAGTGGTTATCATCAATACAAACCCGTAAGGAATTTCTGTATGGATCCTTGACAACTGTATTTGTTAAAACACATGCAGGAAAGTAATCGGCCTTGTAAGTTTTGGCACCAGATAACGTCTTCTTTAGGTGTTATATTTCAAAAGGATATATTTTGATTTAAAATCGTTTCCCACTTGCTGAATTATTCCGAACTCGACCGAGCGTAACACTTGAATTCGTGATTTCAAACCTGCATACTGTATACATGCTGTCCAAAGGATACAGCTTGGTAAGATTTTATGAGCGGATCAGGTCACATAAGTCTTAAAAGATTTTGCAGTGGATGTGGATCATAAACCTTTCGCAGTCGTAGAGATTCTCGAAACTAAACTGTTTCGCTCTAAATGATGCCCAAACTTTTGGCTTAAAATTTAAAGAAGACGCTAGCTGTTACGAAACTAGTACACTAAAGTATAAGTGTGTGCAAGTTTTACACTAAATGTATTGAATACAAAAGGGCAAATTAAATCAGTGAAAAATGAACACTACTAAACGAGCCATTTGTTTGCAGGAAATAATTTTCGCAATCGATCAAAAGGAAGCTCTTTCGGAACGAGATATTTTGTAGTCACGTTCATATCTCGGGATTGGTCTTTACGGTAACCAATTTCCTGACCCTACTTAAGTAATTTGTTCGAATCGAAAACATAGTTCAGAATTTCGGTTTAAATTTCTTGAAATATGGGATCTACTGTAAAGTGCGCATTTTTTTCCGCAGCGGGTCATTTTCTAGACCGATCATAATTAAATGAAAGATGACAGATCTTTCCTCTAACTAGAACTATGACGGAATGTTAGTTTTTGTTGCAGGTCAAGTGGGAATTTGATGGCTAACTCCCAACGACGGATAGCACATCTCACAGGCATTAATTGGCTTTTTTGAAGTAAACGTTACATGTGTGAACTTCAAATATGATGTCTCAGAATCAGGTTCCCGCACAATTAGAGAGCAACTACAAGGCGCACAAAAAGCCTGATAGATTAGTTTGAATACATTTTTTCCGCTAAAGTGGTGCATTTTAGTCCAATTCAAATGGCAACCAAGTACAGCAATATTCAAAAGCAAAAAATAATTTAAAGAAATCTAGACATGTGTAGGAGTCACGTTATCACGGGGTTGAGGTAAACTAAATTTCTGTTTTTTGACACGATGCTTCAGCAGACCGATCTTATGGCCCAGCCATTTGCATTTTGAGACCACCTCTTCTTGCATAAGCTTGAAACACATTGCGAAGACGGAGAGACCAATAGCCACATAGAGACTGATGATAATCAGTTTTTCCTGTGGATTTGTGGAATCCACCTTTGTGCCTATAAATGTAAAATAAAATTTAATGGGACCGATCTGCCACGCAAAAGTATGTCAGGGTTTATATTCCTTTTACAATAGCATTTACATATCAAATACATATGGGTTCAAAGAAGCCAAAGTTTATATTAAAGAGCAGCATTGAACCACGTGACGTCCAAACTTGAACCTATTAATGTACTACGATAACTCCTAAATACACAAATCAAAGCACCTGTATCAGCCAGAACAGCAAATGTATGTGGTTTAGCATTATTCAGTTGCGGCCCGCAACTTATAAAAAACCAATTAATATTGCCTCATGAATGTAAATATAGAGAGAGTAAATTTAATTAGCATTGTTAAAAGTTAGACTTAGTTGTGTTGAATCAACTGAAAATTATCACAGTTTAAATAAGGTACTTATTTAAAATATCCTTTCGGAAAAAAACCCTCAAATGATCTTTTAATTTCTAGTACTATCCAAGTGGAAGAATAATGGATGATTTAATTTTTAAATGAAATTTGTAAGTATGCCAAAAAGTTACTAAGTATCTTGAAATGTGTCACAACCTCTAACCGAAGAGTAGCTTGTGTTATTTTTTACCAGTTTTTACTTAGAATTAACTTAAGAACGTCAATCAGGCAATGTTGATGTAGCTTATGTAGAGCACAATATCATCTCTGTTGGCGTATGCCGAGTTATTTTTCGCAATTAAAATAAAACCCATTGTAGTGCACATCTTTTTAGAACTTTCCGAAGAGCCCTATAAATATGAGGTACGAAAAATGAAATGCCCATGAATTTTTGGGGCGTTTTGCATAGGATGTTTCTTTTGGATGAAAAATACCTGTTCAAATTTAAATAGTCTAAAGGGTTTTGGCGTATGTCAAATTTTTGAAAGATTATGAAAGATTAAAAGGTGAGTGTCTCACTGGCAAGATCAATTTTGGAGAAAATAAATTCCGTAGCAAAGGGTACGCAAAGTTCACTGAGGTGGACATTGCTTTATTTTAAGTACCAAAAATAGTTTTGGGCTTAAAGTGGTGAATTATTATTTTACCTACCAGACCATTTTTGTTTATGCGATTGAAGTTCTTGGACGAACGCATAGAGGGACGATTAAATAAACAGGGCTCTCCACCAACACATAAAACAATTTTTAAATGATTCAAGAAGATACCAAATCAATATTAACCTCCGTGAAATATTACGGGAATGTTCCTAAAGTAAGATCATAAAGGTAAAATAAAAACTTTTATGTTACTAGAAAACTTCTGGTTTTCTAACGGCCAAGGAAGGTCCACTATTCCATCAAAATGGCCTTCAAATGGAACACTTCGGGTGACCCTCGTTGCGCAAAGCTCATTGCTTATATTAAATCCTTCATAATTCTTTGTACGGGAGTCCCGAACTTGCGACTTCACACAAAAAGCGCCTTATCCGGAGTAGCAAATAAAATAGATAAAACAAAAATAATGAGGAAGTAATACAAAGGACTGTATGCGAATGTATGTCAATGGGACCACCATTACCAGCTAAGCTTAGCCTACCGCAGGCTCCGCAATACCGCAGGGTAAGTTATTTTTAAATTAAAAACAAGCCGACTGGACGTCCAATGGGACGGAGGTGGTTGGTATGTTATGAGCCTGCACTTGTGCATGCTAAAGATCCGCCAATGTGTGGTATAGGGCGCATCTTAAACAGCAACTGACGCTGTGATAAGTTAGTAAAATCGCAGTAAAAATAACAAAACTGTTGATTTTCTACATTAGTTTGATAATTACAATAAGTATATTAGGTGACGTTTGTACCTGTAGTGTGGCCAGTCTTTGAACTAACCGGTTTAAGTGGGATGCCATGGGCGATAAGATTAAACAGTCAATTTAAAATGCAATAAAATGTCAATAAATATTGAACCCAATGAGGGCTGCCCAGTGCGCGCCATTTTATATATAATGTCGAACAAGGCAAACGGTGACATATGCAGAGCTTTTAAGGCCGCTGAATAACCATATAATTGGCTCCGTTTTGACCTAAATAAATTAACGATACTAACCGTCATTCAAACGCTAGTATGGGCAGATCTTTTTAGTAGACCCTTATTCGCCCTTTAGCTTTATGCAGAGAAATTTTGACGCTAAATGTAGTGTACTGGTCGGATAAAATTAAATAAGTCTGTTTGTGACACTAAAGCCTAAACGGTCGAAATTAGGGTCTGAATTTCCAGAACAATCAATTTATAATTTCTTCTTTACAAGATTTCATGTATGCCATGCGGAAAGAAGTTGGTATCTATAAAATTAAGGTTAAGAAAATAGAGGCCATGGGTTCTGTTTGAGGTATAATACCATTTGTCAAATCTAACTATCTGCAAGCACAGCTTGTTTATTTGTTGGTAACCATCTACAGGTAATCGTCCATATTTATCGCCAAATGTTAGGAGGTCGATGCAACCATTTCCTTATACTGTATATATTTTCTAAAATTTCCCTCGACAAAACTTATAAAGCAGGAGGTTTCAAAACTTTGAATTCAAGTATACCAGCGACGTGGTTTTAAATACTCCGCAAATACAATTTTTATCGCAGATCGTATTCGTAAGAATGTTTTTTAATTGCGCTTAGTGAACTTAACATATATTTTTAAAATTCTTCATGTTTCCTCTATTACAAACGTTTTTCCTTGATATTCTGTCTTCCTGTACGCATATATTACGTGTCTAACTTGAAGAAACATTAATTATTCAGGTTTTTTACTTAATAGATCAAGCATCGATCGATCAATATTAAAATATACAAGAGATTATTGCATGAAGTGTCATTTACCCAAGAATATCCCACCTTTGTTTTGTTGCAGTTTTGCGATTTCAAACTTTCGAACTTTCGTATATGTAATTAGGGAGTAAGACATTTTCATATAAATGGCAATAACTTTAGAATATTCAAGTTAATATTTAAATGAGTGGTTTCATCCGTTGATATTAAGCATATTAAAGCCACCCAGCATAGTTTTTTCCTTAAATTATAAGTTTAAGCTCCATTAATGGGAATTTAAATGCCCTTTATCTCATTAAACACCTCAACAGTCTGAGTTGCGGTATGCCCCATCGAGGTATTAGCAGGTTCAAGTTATTATGATGTGTACTATGTTGGTACCGTTTTGCCTTAAGCACTAAATCTGTTAGCTGCCGTTGGAAGATAATTGTTGTCTTTAATATAAATTAAGTTTAATACCTCATGTAAGTTTTTAAGGCTGTCAGAAGCCCGGCAAGCTGAAATAACCTAAAAAGCAATTATAAATAATCAATAACTCAGTATCCAAAATTGACGGCACTTAACACATTTAAAGTTTTCAGTGCTAGTTTACCCATTACTAGCAGCAAGTGCCTTTATATATCTACTCTTTTCACCGTAGCTGTTTAACAAGTAAAACGTATTCATAAAAGATTTGCCCGCAATAACAAATCTTAACACCGTATTTAACTGGGGATTTGGGTTTGTTTTGCTTTTTGACTTGACTGATGTTAAATCTGAACATCTACTAAATGTAATTGAATATTCTTTTCGAATGTCTCAAAGTTTCAATGTAAAACCTCAGATGTCATATGGAAATAGGTGAACATTTTTACTTGCAGTCAATGCAAATGATTTTCAAAATTCTGATATTGGTCAAGTAGCACCAAAAGATACGCTAAATGACATTATCTTTTCAGTTGGAGTGGTTGACCGCAACTATATCCACCCGTCAAAAGACATTTTAGGCAAATTGCTGCAGGTTCAGTTTCCCCGAGCCTTTTTCATTATAAGTAACTGCGTTTGACGTAATGATAACAAATGCAAATTAATTCTTGGGATGCAGAGTCTACGATAATTACGCTAATATGCATCAGTTTAGAATATGCCATGTCATCCTTCACTGCCGAGTGTAGTAAAAACGTTTACTACGCAACGGCTGTAAACAAGAACGAAAAATGCGACAGGCTACAGTCTAACGTAGAGTAAGCAATTAAGAAATACAAATATTTACAATGAATATCGGTAAGGCAAGCGAGAGTTCTAGCTTTCAATAAGACTAGAGAAAACTTGATCTTGCTTAGCCACAACTGTAGGTAGGACAAAGTAGTAAAAAAGTAGCACATTTGCTGATGTGATTTCAACATAAAAAGTAAAAAAATACTGCCGGATGACAATAAATCCGCCAGTTGAGAAACCATCTAAATACTTACATTTCCTGCCAAAACGCCAATGCTGATCTTGAGCTCGCCAAAAGCTTGATCACGTATTAATAAAAATACAAGTGGTGATAGAAGAAACAATTTTAAAATGTATTAATAAAACATTTTTAAGATACAATATATTAATTTAAGTCCACATAGTAAATTTTAAAGGACAATATTGATGCACTGGCATAGTCTGTTGTTCTGAGTTAACTACGCTTAAGATGATAGTATATTATCCTTATTTTGAAGCTAAATGACACCGTCCAGTTTTTCTGCTTGACTAATTGCATAAGTAGAGCTTTACGTAAACATAACAAGCAACAGTAGCAGCACACGATAAATCAGCACTAAATTTCAAATGTTAACCAAAACGACAGGGCCAGTTTCTTTATATAGGTAGTCGTGGCCGACATTCGTGTTTCAGATGAAATAAAATCTGTTCTTGCCACTTAGAGGCCTGTAGCACACAATGCTTTGGCCTAATCCTCTTCTATTTATATATTTCAGTTCTTTCAGATAGACTGCATATCCACCCGAATAAAATGAGCGCAAACACAGCTAAGGATACCAATAAAAATGCACTAGATCAAAATGTTGTTGTCGTGCCAAATTTATTCATTGCCGTTACCATCTGCTTTTAACTTTGCAATTTGTTTTTGCCTATGAGCCACAGTTGCGATTTTAATTCGAAATTACAAGTGAAAAACAATTCCAGTTTTAAAAATTAAAGTCTTTAACAGAGCAATATAATTTTGTTGTTTAAACGTACACATAACCTTCAAACGCTAGCCGTCAAATGCTTACTTATACGTTAAGTTGAATGCCTTGCTACTATGGGGCTTGTCACGTTCGTCTACCTAGATAATCTGATGCTAACTGGTGTCCCTCGATTAGTTTCAATTGATACTAAGATATGTTTGTCGCGAAACCTTTTTATCTTAAGGTAAGATTAAAATATAAATGGTTATTTCTGTGAACGACTAAATTGTCTTTTATAAGTAAACGTCATAATTGTTTTATTTATCAGGCTGCATCTCTTTTTTAAAGGCGAAAACAGCATTTCCAAGACTGATTTATTTTCATATTAACATTTACATAGGTACAGCTATGGGAAATGTAAATGCAAAATATTCGCCTTTGCAGTGCTAGTTTTAAAACACTTAAATGTTACTTTAAAACACATTAGCACGGAGTGCAGTTATCCAGTGCGTTGTTGAAACGTCTGTGGTTTGTTTTATCGTCGAAGAAACATCGACATTCCCTTCTGTTTAAGTTGACAAATAGTATCATCTTCGCCGATGACACAATGACTACCATACTTTATTGCATGCAGAGTAAAACACTTAAATGTTTTGTGTATCTAAGTGTGAACTTCTTTCTCTCTCTTTCTCGCTCTCACCGCTTCGTGTTTCCTCTAGCCACATGGCAGTTTTCGGAGTTCTTGACGCACTTCTGAAGTGTGCATATTCAGTGCAGATATAGAAGTGCTGTCAACAAATTCAGATTTATAGTGAAATAACTTGATAGCACGGAAGGTGTTTTTCTCTTTATTCTCCACATTATAAATAACTTCAATTTCTCAACCACTCTGATAGCTACACAAATACACATCGAAAGTCACTTAATTTAAGGTCAGCATAGCTTTTGCACGGCAAAAGATGATGTGTCATGACGTTATTCAACCACGGCGATTGCAATTCTGTGACAAGCACATTATGTATGAGAAATGTGAAAGAAAAGGCCATTTTTCAATCGAATGGCCTTTCTTAGGCATTCGTGTGGAAATTATAACCATATAATCTCAAGATATCAAGTGTGCGCATTTAGTAGTTAAGCCTAACTGATTATAATTTAATTGTAGGCATGTGCTTTGTGAGGTCAACTCTAGGTTTTTCGCAGGCAATTTATGGCATGCGAGCTGCCCGTCAAAGTACAAGCTACCCGTTTACTTCTCTCTATCCGTGTTATTGCCAGAAAAGCAGTTTAAGGATGGATTGTTTTGATATAATTGATCGCTAGTTGTTATTTCTAACTGGTAGCTACATAATAATAGAGATCTGGTTGTGTTTCAAACGGCAATATACGCTGGCGCACTTTAATCTTTAAACCGATGTTGTTTTTAACGAAATGTGTGCTCATGTTTTTTATCGTCATTTCTTTTCCAAATTTAAAAAAGAATTAGATAAGCGAACACGCTGATTCTTTTAAATATGCCAAAGAAAAATATATATGCAATAAAAATAATCTACCTGGAACAATATCACCAAAGCCAATCGTTGATAATGTAACGAAGCAAAAGTATGACCACTTGAGATAGTTGTCATCTTCCCAAATACAGAATACAATGGCCCCAATGAGTATGTACGTAGTCATTATGGAGATCGAAAGACTGATTGGCACCGTGACGTTAGATATGTCTTCGTGTGACAGAGCCGTCGTTTTGGAATTTCGCACCTCTGCATCCGACCATCTCAAACTTTGAAGGCTATCACGTGAGTAGTAGCTCACTTGAAGTCGCATATCGCTTGTTGAACTCGCAGCGGAGGCAAGCATTGAGAGGCGTGATCTATACAAATCGTTAGAGTATTTACAGTTGTTTTCCTCAATTTTCTTCTTCTGGCTGCCTTGCGGTGAGCTGGAACCCTTCGCGTACATCTTCAGCTTTCGAATGGATGGATGCAGAATGGGTCTTGAGCCTGTGGGTTTTTTTTTGTTAAGATCAATGGGACAGGATATATCCTTGTTTGACAAGTTAGAGATGTTTCCAATATAGGGAGAACTTATAGATACTTGGTTTAACTCAAGAAACGCATCGTTGTCATTTGGAAAAGAGGAATGCAGTTTTCGCAGGCCCTGAGAAGATCCAGGCGAATAGTCTGCAAAGTCGGGGTTAGTGAGTATTTTTGCAGGTTTTTCATCGCTCTCCTCAGTATGTATAGTAAAGGTTGGACAGCTGGTGTTAAGGGTAATCGAAGGCTGCCCGTCCAGTGTGTCTCCACTGGACGGAAAGATGGTGGCCCCATAGTTTGGCGAGAGATATCGACGGGTTCTTGCATTTTCTGCCTGATTTAACGTCTTTCGTCGGCCCCTCTTCTTGCGCAGTCGTCTTTCACGTTGGTAACAGAGTAGATACTGGCCGGTGGCAAAAGATTTTAGCAAGGACTTAGAGGTGAGCTCATCTGAGGGATCCGCGTGCAGAATGGTCTGTGTTGCGTTGTTGTGTAGTTCCAGTTCAGCTCTCAGCTGCTGGCCGCGAAGAGGTTTCCCATTGCTTGTTGTGCGGGCGTTAAATAGACTGCTTGAGTTCGAATCACCGTTCCAAACACACAAAGGGTTGTCCACTTTAGATTCGCAAGCATGCGCTTGGCTTCTGATATCGTTACCAAGCTGAAAGGAGGTAATTTAAATGTAGCTTTTAATGTCGGCCTCAAATAGTTGATAAAGTAAATAGATCGTGCAAATAGACACAACTAAGCAAGTCGGGTAAATCAATCCGTACTTCTCAGGGCCTTAATTAAAGCCTCCAAATATTCTAATAGTAACTAATGCCTCAGACAATGCAAAAATAATAACAATAGCCGTAGAAAAGCACATGTTTATAACACTATGAAATCTCGTTTACTAGCAATATAGTTAGGTAGGGTCTATGGAATAAAAATAATGCTTATACCTCAATAATACGGATTATTTATATTCTCAACATCTTTGTATGAATATTTTGAGTGAGTCCCTAAACACCAATTTTACCGTATGAAGGTTGAAATAGAAAGCTGCATATTTAAAATTTTAATTTTATTGTTGTTTTCATGATATTTTGTCATAAAGTGGGTAATACTGAATAGGCTGTGACTGTGATACTATGAGAGAACTAGCATCAAAAAACGGGTCGCACATAAGATGGGGGATGGTTTGCGGAAATTCAACGTCAAAAAATGTATGGCACAGTCGCATTATTCATAAAGTCTGCGGAAAATAAACGTCTCTGTATACAGGCGTATTGCTCAAAATTATCTATTGCAAGATCCTAGGATTTGAACATGAGGTTTAATAAAAAAAACTATTTTTATACCTTCAGACCCCTCAGCTAGTCCAACAAGGAAGAAGCCTGGTTTTTCAAATACATCCATTCATCCTAATTCGGCAACCTTTCAAAATGCGACAAACCATTTTATCTGAAAACGTAAGGGAAGTTTCGGCATCCGCCTTTTTCTTTATATTGACTTGTCTGCTGACTTCGTCAACACATCCGTACGTTTGTCTGAAATATGGTTTTTAACCTGATGGGACTGACAGTTTTCTGTTGATAAACTGACATTTTGTGGATATGTCTGACTTTGCCGCCGTGTTTTATAAAGCACTGACGGTTTTATTAAATTCCCTTACTTTGAAACCGATGCGCGTTTACAGAATCAAAGACAAATATGTAGTAAGGTCGCAGTTGAAAGTATGCAATTTATACAACAATGTCCCTTTGACCTGCTCAAGCTAACGGAGTTTATTATTATTCTATTCTTAAAATCCATAAAGAAACTATTTTGTTACTTTTAATGTAAATACTTTGACAGATACACTCCCAACATCTGCACTATATAAAGGAACTACAAAGCACTACAATGCTAGCTAAAAATAGACACTGTAAGTAAAACGTACATGAATTATCAAACGAAAATTGGAAATATTTTAAAGTGTATGGCTTTGCGCGAGTGAAAAAGAAGTCTTTATGTCCTACACTTTGAACCCCGGAGGAAATAGAAAACTATTTATTAGCTTGTTCGGGCGACTTTGTCAGATGATTTACCTTTGTTTATAAAATCCTATTTTTTACCTGTAATTGCAAATTGCTCACAGTTTGCGGACTGCCCGAGCTATCCCTGCATGGGTTTAACACCTCGAACAGCTGGTTTTTGATCAACGGAGTACACTGATCAAAGGTTGCATGTGTTTGGTGACAAAGGCCCAGATCGGTGCGTATTACGCTTTCATGTCGCATCACCTGTTTAGTGCCGTCGTGCTAGTCTACATTGTAGCGCTATTTTTGTTTCTTTTTCCCTAAATTGACGTGATGTTTCGGTCTAAATGTGTTTGAATGCAGTAAATACTTCTAGACATAACTAAGTGCCTCTTAGTAGCTACCAGTAACTTTAGGCGATATCAAACGAACGAAAAACAATTGGACGCTTATTGGCTGCTTCCAATTGATACTATTGAGTTATTATATGTCACGGGGATGTATTCTCGGAAGCTCTAAATTTAAAACAATGCCATGTGATTAGGTTTGTAATTTGAAGACGCGATTGTCCTTGTTTGAATCTTCTTATCACTTCTAACATACTTTCATTAAATTATTTTAATGTTTTTTCTAAGTTGATTTGCATTTGAGGGCATAATTTGAGGAAGCGCCGCATTCAAAAATTACAAAAGTAAATTGTACCTTTTAAGAATTTCATATTATGTTACTATTCTCAATCAAAAGGCGTAATAAATTGTTAAGGAATATATAATTAAAAATAAACGTATAAAACACAGGTTTTCATATCTCGTATATGACTGTGTTCACTGCGTGCATAAGACTTGAAATAATCAAGAGCTCCGAGCGGCCTGGAATAGATTGTTCGCAAAAGGTGCATGCAGAAGGCATATAGACAGTATTGGCGACTATATGAACGCAGATCCAAGACACTTACTGATATAAATAAACAGCGAGCTTATATATGAACCACTCGGATCAAAAGAAACCTAGCAAATGCCTTCTTTGACCTGCCTTTAAATGTAAGACCGATGGAGGCAACCTGGTGTTCTTCACATCTATATAGCCGAATACGTAGTATATCAATATGGCACAAACAGCAGGAATTTCATGGTTGTATACCTTAAATTATTCGTGAATCTACTGCAACAACCTTGTATAAAATGTGGTTTAAACACGCTAAATAAACCTAAAACCTCATACTACGATTTCAACTACACAAAACTATACGACCTTTAGAAAGAAATATACACTCAATGAGCACCTATTTTTAAAAAGGCGTTTTGCTTTTTTCCCTGAAATACTATAAGACTTATAATAAGATGATATCTGCATGAAACAAAGACAATATTAATCTGTGCCTTTCGCAAGACTGCACTCTTACTATGTTGAATGGAATGAGAACACGTCATATCTTGCTAAGGAGCTTTGGTTTTTACTCTAGGCTAATTATATTTTAACCACCTCCTGTTCAAACGCAGACTCGAAGCTTCCGATAGACTTTTTCCCATTGTCGGGCCATATCTTATTTTTGTTTCTTGCCATTATTAAATAAGAATTTATGTTTGAACTGTAGAAAGAGACCTCAGGCAATTGCTGCTTCCATTATCTCCAGTTACATATCTTTTTACTAAAATAATTATTTTTTATTTTTTAAAACATAAGATGCATACATTTCGACACAATTATATTTAACCCAACTACCTAAATTTTATTGTTTTTTGCATTTAGTGACAAAAGAATGACCTATTTGGTGCCTTCGGATAATATGACTGTGTCTGTACACCCAGCTACTAACTCTGTTGTCAGTAAAATAAATTATTCACATTTTTATAAAATCAGCCCCTGATTTTACCCTAGTGATGCTAATGACGCGTAGATACGGCACGTTAAATAAGCGCATTTTGAGAGAACTGGACTTAAATTGTACATCGTGAGATAAATAGATGTTGTATTAAATAATGTTTATCATACATGTTCCTATGCTGGGGATTTTTAAAGTCAGCTGAGTAATTTCTATAGAGATGTTTATAAAACTGTTTTAATTTTTTGTAGGTATTGGTGAATAACTTAAATCTTAAGCTGCAACTACGGAAACCGTTTTAAAATTCAACAAGTCCCGACCTCTTGGACAGTATTTAAATGCTCACGGTTCATTATTATAACCCTTTGGGGAAAATGGAACGTTGTCCTTTTTTAAACTCATAGACTGTGATGAAGAGCCGGTAAAAATGGTGTTAAATCTGCCAACATTCCTTGCATTCTGCGAGTTCCAAGCCTTAAACATGCCTAACTCGGACATAAGCCGAAGCATAACAAAGCGTAATATACACCCATTTTTGTATTACTCTTGATATATAATCTTTTTTAAATCTGACCCGAATTAAAAATTCACTTTATACACTATACCAATAGTGGAATATGAACAAAGAGATCTAGAAGAAAAATGCCTGACTGCAGCCTATGAAGGGTTTTTGATGATTTGCACACTGCACATTATTTGACGTAGGCTTTTTAATTTTGGAAATACGTCGGGAAAGAATGATGAATTGGCTCTCTTTTCTTTGCCCCGCATGCCTGAAAGCTACATAAGCGGCGCTTAGGGTAGCGTAAAACGGGTGACGTCATCTGCATTGCACACGCACTAACCTGCCGCCTTTGAGTCTAAATAGATGACCTTGAGGTCACAAAGCCGCCAAATAGAGGAGAACTCCATTGGCTTTGAAACCTTATAAGATGTACGCATCGTTACGTTTACGAAATGACCGTCCCCACTTATCCTTCGTGGGTCCCTGTGGGAAGTTATTTTCATTAAGTTAAAATTACGTGCTTATATTAAATC